CAGGTTGACACCGAATCTTGCCAACTATGATCCGGTGCTGAATGAATACTTCTTCGACCGACATCCTGGTGTATTTTCGATGATATTGAATTACTATAGGACAGGTGAGAATTCCGTGGGGAAAGCTCATTGACTACTTTTTCACTTATTTCTGGCACAAATTCCAAACCCCTAATGATTATGGAAACGAGGAGGTGGTGCAGGAGCCAGTGGTCTTCTACCCACCGTTGACGGCAAACTGGTGCCAAACTCGACCGGGAGGATAAGAACACTAGCTCCCCCCCCCTCCAAATCACTTTATAGGCCACATTGCCTTTAGTGAGCTCCCGCTCCGACACTTATCGCAAGAATGCTGAGTTATATGCAAAAGTCAGGCCCCATACGGAACTACCCGCATTTCGTGCTGACCATTACGTAGTGGAATTGCCGTGAGCAAGTGGGCTACCATTACGGCTTCTCTCACCCTCTCGGCTCGATGGCCTTTTGTGCCATAGTCTTGCAGCGCTCACACTTTTAGCGTGATGAATTCCAGCAATCTTCTGAGTGAAACCGTAAGCAGTGAATTGCGCCAAAAGTGTTATTTTTCAGGTAAACTCCACTATCCAACAAATGTCTGTGGACCATTGTTCGAGGAAGAGTTGGAATTCTGGGGACTAGATGCTAATCAGGTATTCGGATTAACCTTCATCAGTCTTTGTTGAATGTTCAGAGCTGTACGTCTTGAAGGGGTAGTACGAATTTGCACCTCCACTTCAACTAGCTCACTTACCTCTGTTAGTTCGCGTGAAGCTTTACAAGTGTTCACAGGTCTCTTTTTGATGAGTCCTGTAAACTTTTGTGAAGTTACGAAGGCGGCCTGTACAATCTTCGCTGAGTACCATTTGGCGCGCCATATGTACTTTTGAATTCCTATCTGGAAGCCGCTGCAGCCATAAACAATCAGAGGGACCCCGGTGCTTATTGCATTGAAAGAGTTCTAGGTAAGACGTGCTAGTTCATTTCTGTGAGAAAAATTGTAATTTTGCTGTCCTGCCAAGACTCTTTCACTGGCCTCCGTCTAATAATTTATATGACGTCTTTGGGTACCTTCGGAATTTTCGTAAAATTTCCAGTGGAGTTCCTTCTTGAGTCTACCTGAATTTAGGTCGAGCCTTGCTGTTGGATGACGTATACGCAACACAGGTATTACTTCTTCATTTTTGCTAACACGTTGCTCAGTTTATTTCCCTTTTTTGTTTTCTTGTCTTTATTCATCTAATTGACGCAAATTCAAGAACGTTTCATTTTTATGTTTCTTTAGAGATACACAGGACACTTTAGCCGTGATCGAGTCATTAGATCTAGATGGTGATCCTCCGACTCAGGAAGAGGTGAGGAGTGTTTCATTATGTTCCATCTTAGCGCTGAGAGATAAAGTCCACGATCGTTATACGGGCGGAGCTAGGACCGCTGTTGTGCCTTCCTCACTGGCATGTCTCTCTTACACGTCGTCTGCTCCAGCTTTCAGAAGCGCGCCAATGGTCAATAGCCAAGGAGCACTTGAAGACAGCTCCCGCGATAAAAGTGTCATGGATAGTTGCTTTTCAATTATGAAACAGTAGCTGATAAGTAATTCCCCAAAGGAAAAAAGCAAGAAGAGTCTCAAGAACACCATAAACTAACGCTCCCTAACAGGCAAGCTATCCCTATGGTCTTTGTGCAACCGCTGGCTCACAAAATCCCTTTATTACATCTCCCAGTAGTGGATGTCATCCAATTCAAAAGAAAAGAATACGAAAACAACAAAAACTCGGAAGAAAAACTTGAAGAAATAAAAAATTCAAAAACACGGCGTCCAATTCGGTTATCGGTAGCCAAGCGATTTCAGTGCATCTGCAAGTTCGAGCTTTTGCACCACGAAAATTGCATCACTCGTGATTGTGTGCGTTTTAGCGCTTATTAGCTCGGATGGGTTATTCGTTTGACTGTATGATGCTTCTCAATGAATGATAATGTGACGAAGGAGTGCAGAGTTATATTATGAGACAGCAGCGCGCCTCACATGCCATTGCAGTCCCGATTATCGTCGCCCGCGGCCCAACGAAAGAACAACTGAGTGGCCTCATCAGAGGCTTCTAAGGCAAGGTGGGCGGTCCAACTGGCGGGCGTTAGAGCTAGGCTTTCAGCGGGCTGTAAGCTGCTTCCTTGCGTGTTGCTGTGAAGTCGCGAGAGGGGTCAAGTTCTCTGGTTTGGGGTGTGCTACTTTCACAAGAAAGGACGAACATGTACTACTTGAGCGCGAGGGCTGTCTTTGAAGGCAGTTGCCACACTAAAGCAATTCCTAGGCGTCCTTCCTTGCACAAAAAGCCTGGTTTTTGGTCTTCATTCTCTAAGATCATCCCACTTTCGCGGATCCATAGTAAGTAACGAAAACGCTGTGGCCCTCATAAGTGGCAGTTCTGACGCCTCCCTAGTTGCCTTCCACCCCCCCCCCTCCCCACAAAAGACAGAGGCAACTTCTGCACAGGTTCAGATTCTACACCATTTTTTCGCTTCTTTCCTCATTATTAGATAGTATTAACATTAGACGACGCAAAAAATGGTTAGTGAGCCACAGGCATCAGGAAGTCGCATTGATGTCATGAAACGTGCACGTCCGAGGAACTCGTACAGTGTAACTCCCAGAGAATCCTTACTTAGGTCCGATGGTTGGATGGGGTGGATGGATGGTCCGTCTGATGGTTCTCCATAAATTTTTTTTGCTTTTTTCTGAAGCACAATGATTGGCCCGCTCCGCCAAACAAGGAGCGAGGAACATGGCTCAAAAAGGTGTGAAGGGGAATATAATGAAATAGTCATCTTCAATAAACGTCCTTCTGCGGTGCGCCAAGCACTTCATTATAGAGTCCATACTTTATGAAGGCACTTGAAGGCAGTTGGCACGATAATTTCATGTACTTTGAAAAGAGCAAAGGTGCCCAGTAATGCAAAAATAGTGAAAAAACGGGGCGAAATGGTGGGGAAACCACGAAATGGGGGCTTTATTTCTTCGCTGCACTGCGGCAGTGGACGAGCGAACGGCTGGGGCGGGCGCTGCTTTGGACGAGTCTACCGACTGAACCGTTCACTGCTGGCAAAAAGGCAGCAGTACGTTTTTCGTCGCTCTACATTATCATGCATTGCACGTAGACACGGGCGGTCTACAACGGCACGTCCTCGTGCTGTGATGCTATACGTCCGATGGTAGCGCGAGCCGTGAGGTGGACGACGCGAGGTCGGTATGTTGCTTGCCTCGCTAGGGTTGCTATAAGGAACCCTCCTCAGAAAAAGCGTATGCAGCGTCATGTCACGTACGGAACTCTGTTTCAATCGGTTATGTAATCCTACTCGTCCCTGGATTTCGTGCCAACTGCCTTTAAGGGTGATCCGAATCTGCAAAGCCATTCAATGAGCAAACCGGTGTTATGCGGTTTTGGTAGCAAGCAGTCCATTCTGGAGGGCTGAAGCGCTTAGCTTCAACCCTTGATGATTCGTGTGTGGGGGTTGATCCAAAGAAGCGCGCTAGGTACGCAGCGCCATATATGCAGTACACTACTTCCGCCTGAATGGATTTTCAAAAATATGATGGCTCGAGAAGCGTGGAAGGGCGCAGGAAGAAAAATGGGAACAGATGCCATTATATGCACTCTTTTTTGCTTACTTGCGAAGGAATCGTACAAAGAATTCCTTAAAATGGAAGCCAATTAAGCCTCCATATCTCGACTATCTCGACGAAAAGGGCGGCTGCAGACAAATGGTCGAAAGCAGCCGACAAACCCGCAGACAGATTCAATTTCCATAAACCGATTAGTCCATTCGTCAATAGAACGCCTTCACAACCAGGAAACATGAAATTTATTGGCTAGTAATTATGGAAAAGGTCAAGCATTTTGAAGCCCGTCATTTTGAAATCCCGGCACTGTTGAGTCGGAGGGGGCATACTGCACTTTGGCTAGTTCCTTTTGCCTAGTTTATGCTAATTAACGAGACTTATTCTTGTATGACAATTTTCTGATTTTGCGATCTGCAAATCTACGTGAAGGTAGCGCAATAGTCAACGCCAGCATTGGTAAGTTGCAAGGATTACAGCGTCATCACAAATGGCTTACGCTCGCAGCTGTCGATGAGTTACCATTCGCTGCCCCACCAAGCCGAACTATTCCTTAGAGAAATCTCTCCACTAGTAAGATGATTTCCACGCGAAGATCCGCCCATGGGCCAACAGTTCGCGGACCAGCTCAGCCCGGGTCAACAAGCTTCTACCCTTCCGATGGTATGGGCATGTTTTATTAATTTGATGCCGATGGTCTTACAAAACTTCTAGCGAGCGTATTTCAGTGATTTTATCCTCCCCACGAGTCTCGGTATTAAGTAACTGTAGCTGTTCTAACGCCCTTGCCCCTAATGTATTAAAAAGAAATAGTGCAATTTCAGAAAAGTTAACTTTCAGGCGCAGTTCGGCTCGGTGGGGGCATTTTGCTAGCTGCCATCGATCTCTGTAAATTCCTGGAGGGCTGAGCAGTAGTAGGAGCTTCTTTTACTTTTGACACGTATCTACAGGTGCGGGCCTCTGTGACGTGTGATTTCACAGAAACTAGCAAAAAGTGCAAAATGCACTTCCCAAGCTGAACGACGCCCTGTTCGTAAAAAGGGGTTGGTAGTAATTCTTGATAATCTTCGATATAACAGCTACACAATGAAGGGAGCCACATTAGGTGTTAGAATGTATCTGAAAAATTACGATTAACTTTCATTTAATTTTTATTTTATTGATCTTCATTCGTCGCTTTTGAGAATCACGTGATATTTCAGATTGCAAAAAAGTTCGGTTGGGAAGACGACTACTACTCTGGGACGCTATCAAAATGGCAACAAATTAAGCCGAGGATATGGGCGTTATTCGATGAACCATGGAGTTCCCAGTATGCTCGGGTAAAACATCTTCTAGAAATATCACTATGATTCAATAAAATCCGTTTTATTATCCCATGGATTTGGCTGCAATCACACATGATATCCCAGTCCCAACAGCTCATTTATTCCTTACCCTTTCATTTTATGTCCCCGATGTTGTATCCCCTCCATTCCTATGCATGCGTGTGCATGAAACTTAGTTCGTTGAACGTGCAAGTAATAATGTGTTTACATCTGTTCAACTCTCAAGCCACATTCCACGATGGTCGTGTGGGCGGAGAAGGGCTCATTGTTATGCCTTTCTCACTGACGTGCGCCTCCTCTTTACCATAATCCAGAGAAGACATACCTCCTGAAAGGCACAGCGACAGGCTCAGCTCCGCCTACATGACGAACTTGGAACGTGACTTTAGGGTTTGAATTTTGTGCGCTCACCTTCTGTGGAACTGAGCATCTTTCTTACAAATGCACTTACACTGATAATCGCTTCACCTTTGGCAATAACATGTGGATCAGCGATGAGCGGAAGAAGCAAGGAATCGCGGAAATCGGAATTCGAAAGAGCATCCATGTTGTATGATTTATATCCTCGTAATCCGACGGGTGGTGTCAAGAGGGGTGGAATATGCTCTTTCACAGCTGCGTTTTCTACCAATAGTAACCTGTTCGTGTAAGAAGCAACCATTGGTGAAAGATGGAACAGCTCACTCCACGCTCCCTTACACCGCCCGCCAGACGGGACGATATCAATCGTAGATACCCTCGAAATCTCTGAGATGGGGTAGGCGTGGCTGCATACTTCAACCTAACGTGGCGGTGGCTGTGCCTTTGGTGAGATATTTTCATTTTGACTCAGTTGTGGTCATGTCTCGCCAACGCCCACTCCGTCTCAGGGATAAGGAGTGTCTGTCAATTGGACATCTTGAAGTTTCCCTCAAATCGAACTCTGTTTCGAAAACCGCTCATCTCCGACACGCGCACCATTCTTCTGGTAGTTTGAGTTGATTGTGAATAAGTGTTTGGTCCGTGCGTTCTGTGATGTTCGTACACTTGTGCATTTGCGGACTTTAATTACAGATTATCTCTTGCTGTTCGGTATTCTTCATCCTTGCCTCGACAATCTCATTTATGCTCAAGACACATCCATCATTTCAAATCCCACAAATCACAGGTGAGTGTGAACGAGTGAAGCTGATCGTTCATAGGCACTATTCTTCAGCCTTCATTTATAGTGAAGTTCGCTGCGGACGGTTGGGCGTGTCAGGCGGGATGAGTTTGGCGCGGTGCCAAACCCGTTCTCCACCAGTTGTTAAAGCGAGCAAGTGATATGACTGTATCATATCGTTCGTATTACTCGTTTTCTACCACTTTTTGTCGCATGCGCGCTTCAACAAGAAGGCAGAGAACGGCTTTGACGGGGTGACACACTCTTACTGCCTGAAACGCCCAACCGTCCGCTGCGAACTGGAGCGTACTTGTTTATTTATTTTTACATGCTTAAGCTAGGGTACACCGAGAAAGAATTATGAAGTCAAAGGAACAATGGGAAGGAAAACGAAAATAGAGCAAGGAAATTGGGGAGAAGAAAATGGTGGGGTTAGCGACTCTGGGAGGGCACGCGGCTTCGTGCTAACAGTTCCATCACCAGGATCATCCTTACAAGAGCCAGATGACCATACGACCTTGTCTTAGGATAATTGGAAGTGGGCTCAGTCGCGGGATTTACTAAAAATGTCACTACTTTGGTTTGAGGTCATATTTTACACCGTTCATCGGTATAGGTGGTGACAGCATGCCGTTGTGCCTTCCTTGGCTCTGCGCCGCTCCCCTCACCTTACAAAGAGATGCGCATCGATGAGCAAGGCATTGTAGTGGGTTCGGCTCCGCCCATCCGACGAGCTTGGAGTGCATACTGTGGACGAGGTAGTCGCACTGCGAACACCGGAATCCGTCAAAAATACTGGAGAATATGAGAATGGTCCACTTGTAGTCTAGCGTGAGTAGATTGGAACAGGGGTGGTAATCTCCACCGGTAGAGCTTGACGTCCGTCAATGTTCCGAAGAAGGCGAATTCCGCCGAAACTTCAGTTTAGTAGAGCGTCTGTACCAGTCTCGGGAACGTAGCAACTCACACTATACCACGTCTACTGTGCCGAGGTTAAATGAAAGCCGGTCATAGGCTATCCTGAAAATGGCCCCACCTGTAGTTCAATTCTAATTAGATCTTCACTCTCACTCAGTCCACCTCCAAGAAGCTTCATATCCCTAGCGAGCCCATCTTCTGCTGCGCTTCCTTCTACTTCATCGTGGAAGGGCCGCTGGTTTCGCGTGTGCTGTTTTCGGAGCACACTACTGTAAAGTACATTGAAATTTGAACGATTCTTTGCTCATCCTAGCCAGTTGTAATCCTAGCTTAGTTTGACAACACTCAAAAATGTACTGTTTACTGGATGTGTCTAACTACTTCTTACAGTAACCTACGGTTTCCGACTTTTCGAGAAAGATGGAATGTCAGACTTTGCCAAAGCGATTGGCACTCACAAACCGTACACTGCACCTCATCCGTATTTCTTCTACGTTGATCTGATCTGTAATTCATGGTTCACGTTAGAATTGGTGAGTCTTGAGTGCTTTTTAATTCATTTGCTGCCACACTTCTCATCAGGATATTAGATTTCCGAGCAGTTCGGCGACGGCGGAGAGGGGGGGGGGGCATTTTGCGTTTCGCCTCTTCCCATCAACATGTCGACAGGTTTCACCAGAATTTGAGCTGTAAGCAGGAATTAGAAATAGCGAAAGTGCAAAGTGCCTCCCACCGTCGCCTAACTGCGCCTAGCTCGTGATGATTCCTGCTCGTGATGTCGACAAGCACCTGTGATTCTTCGGAGAGTAGTGTAGTTGTTTCAACCGCAAGTTCTGAGAACAGGCATGCTCCTTG